AAGACAAATTAAGAAATTTAAGGTTTAGTTATATATAATAAGATGTGAATGGTGATGACGATAAGGAAGTTTAATAAACTACTACACTTTCTCCTCCGCTTCTATCGCTAGTTACTCTCTTCGGTTTCTATTATATAACATTTTTTAAATAGATTTGTTGGTTCTTAATGTAAGGCACTTGTTAGGATATTGGTTATATTTTTTTAATATTATTCCTATTTAATTTTATTAACTATGAAAAGACTGTTATGTAAATTTAAAAAATTATCATTTAAATAGGGGTAAAATAAAAAGTTAGTTTAATTTTCAGACAAAGTTTTTTATCATCTAGCAAAATTAATAATTTTATTATCTCTTATTAATTTTAGTAAGGTAGTTAAAGGCTTCAAAAGGAGTATAAGACAAAGTTACTTGGTTATGACTTTGATGAAATAATAGTTTATTGACATCATTGAACTTGTTAAAAAAATGTGTGAATTTTCAATTTTGCTGTTTATGGTATTGAAATTAATTAATGTCCATGATAAAGTACTCAATTAAATGAAATATTAATAATAAAAAAACCCGATTCCCATGAAAACTTCATAGTGAAATAACCGATAATGAATCTGGACCAAAAGCAGCGGAAAGTAAGTTAGGACGAAGGGACTATAAAGAGAAGTGATAAGTGAAAGCGATATTACCCAAGAACTTATCCTAATAAAGTTGAAACCTGTGAGTGAACAAGACTTTAATTAATTTAATTAGCTTTAATAGAAATTCTTTTTTCTTAGCATTATCTGATTAAATTTCACTAGTCAAATCCTTTTTTTTTGGGTGAAAAAAAAATCCTTTTTTAGTTATAAACATTGAATAGTGATGTATATGGTTGTCAAATTCTCAATTTAATTTTTTGAGTTTATTGTTTTATATTATCAATTTATAAAATCATGTTAACTCACTCATAAACTTAAATTAAATGAAAGTTGGTTAAATTCATGAGTTAACTCTTTGAATTTAACATTTTTAGGTTTCTAGTTTATAAAATCATGATAATTTACTCATAAACTCATACTAATTGTAATCATTTAAACTTATTAAACTTATCAATTTTTAATTGAGTTGAGCAAATTAGGCATATACTGTATAAAATTTCTTTCATATAAACGGTAGGACATAGTTCAAAAAGAAAACTAAAACTCAAACAAAAATTAATGTTCATAAAAAAGAAAACGCTTTTTTTTAGAAATTTTTTTGTTGAGTGTGATAATTTATCAATATAAAAAAATTTAATTTCAATAATTTATATTTAAAATATATTTAAATTAAATTATGATGATATTTTATATTTTAATTATTTAATCATACATTTTTAATGATTATTTATTAATAAAAATAAATTTTTATAAATTTATAATTTGAGTTTATGATTTGAGACCATACCCTTATCATGAAATTACTTAAATTTGTGAGTTTGACAGACTTGTGCGTGGCTGCAAAGCAAATATTCAACGAATGAATATCAAACGAAATTATTATTACTTCATTGATGCTAGATCACAATTTGACCAGAGGGAAACAAAACAAATAAATAAATATATTTTCCATTTATAACATAAAATATTTATTAAAAAATTGTACACAGAATATCTTAAAAAAACGAATGCACGAAATTCACACCCATGACTGTCTGACTTGCTGAGTTACGTATCGATGTGGCTAACCTACTGACTGCGATCCAGCTCATTCGGCTCACAAGCATCTTTACGAAAGGCACGTGTAATCCATGATGATTTCACAGTTTTCCACTGAAACTCTTTAATTAAATATTAAAGTACAATCAAAAGTCATATTTAAAATTTAAAAAAATACTCTCCTGTTAAAAAAATATAAAATATTTTTTATTAAATTATATTTTTTAATAAAATAATTATTTATTTTTTAATTAATTTTATTTTTTTATATTTATTTTTATTAAATACTTTATAATAAATATAAAGTTATTATCAATATAGATATTTTTTCAAAAAAAGTAATGATTACATTTTAAAAGATTAAAAATACTTTATTTTTTTAACATTTGACTCCTAAAAATATTTTATATTTTTAAATTGAAAAGTATATATAATTATCTTTCTTTTAAGTAAAGCTATAATATATCTTAAATCTTAAGATTGGTAATGACTAATTGCTGGAGTGGTAATACCACATGTTTCTTTTGGAAGAGGTAGTGAGTTCTTGTCTTATATAGAAGGGTTAAGTTAGGGTTAAAATTTTTTTAAAAGAATAAATCTTAGAATTGTAGATGGAAAAATGATAAAAAAAATTCTTTTAAAATATAAAAATGATAATGAGTTCACACAAAATGTGATAATTTCTTTTAAGTCTTTTGAGATTTTTATGACATTAATATTTTTATAAAATGATTATAATGCTCCCAACTTGTCGTCCCATTTTAATTATTACCAAAAAATAATTATTATTTAAATTAAAGTAGTCATTGCTATTTATAGCATTTGAAGTTTTGTGATTAAAAATTCAAACTATTTAAATTCAATTAAAATTATTTTTAAATAATTTAAAATACTTGTAGTTCAATGATTAAATTCAATTTAAATTTTTTAAGTCGCTTGATTAAAAACAATTCAAATTATTTAAACCTTACGTAAACGATCTAATTATTTTAAACCTTCATGGTAATTAAAAAATTAAATGTAAAACTGAAAACATTTTATTTTCATTATTTTCAAAAAATAAAAATAAAATTTCGATATTATGAATTTATTTGAACCAGTTGCTGCTTAGCTTGTTCATCATTTTCTTCTATTATTTTATTCATATTTTCCATGAATTATGCAGACACAAGCCTTGCTTTGGGCATTAGATTTCCCAGAGTTTAGGGCAAGATATTGAAATAGAAAGGTCACAAACGAAGAATTTCAACACTTTAACTTCAAAAATCAGACTCATTTTCTCACAGAGAATTCAACTCTTCTCCTACCATTCAAGTCCGTATATATATAATAGTTAAAATTCGAATACTTAATTATATAAGTTACTTTTTTTTTGCCAATTATATTAAGTTACTTGATCACTTGTTTTAGTTATCTTATACTTTCCACAACCAAAGTTGATAACGGAACGTTAAATGCTTTTCACTTGATTTGGACCATACATCAAAGTGAAAAGAAACTTTTTTATCAAACAAATAAAGGAAAATGTCTAATTTTGATATCTTTACTTCTTTTGTTTGATGGATAAATTTGTTCTTGACATGGATATGGTTTCTCTGAAAATTGAGCTTAAGCACTTTGTGTGTGTGTGTGTTTTTTTTTCTTGTCAATAAGCCATACTTAATTTTGACTGTCCATGTCTGATTTATAGTTTTTCCTATTTAAAAATATAAAATATTTTTAATTAAATTATAATTTCGATAAAGTAGTTAGTTATTTTTAAATCAATATCATCTTTTTATATTTATCTTTATTTAATAGAGTGTTTCACTTTAAAATAAATATAATGTGATATATTTATTAGAGATATTTTGAAAAAAAATGCATAAATTATAATATGAAATATTAAAAATACCTTATAATTTTAACATCCAAACTCTCAAAAAATATTTTATATTTTTTAATGGAGGGAGTTTGTGTGTATATATATTACTTGTAGATTGAAAGATTATTAGTAAAAATCTGCATCCTTTTCTTTTTAAAATAAAACAAATAAAATTTAATAAAAATACAACGTAATGCGTCCAAGGATGGATTTACATGGGAGCAAGGACCATATTTAATTTATTGCCCTTTAAATGTGTTTTCTTTTTTTAAACAAATTTGAAATTGAATTTTAGCCCCCATCTTCCGTATAACTTTCACTCTAGATTCATCACTAAATGGGTCCCCCCCCCAAAAAAAAAAAAAAAAATTCCATGCGTTCCGTAGCTCGAAACTCAAAGCTCTTGCCAACTGAATTATTAAGATATGGTGATGTTAGGGTTGATTTAATTAATTTAAACAAATATAAACACATATATTTACATATAATATAAAAATTCTAGAAGCCTGCACTCATAATTAAGTCACGAATAATGTGATTCATTTATTAGGTAGTGTGAGCACAAATCCCGACAACTTGATATTCAAAATCAAAATCAAAGTCAAAATCCTCTTCTGTCCAAATAAAATCTCCTCGGAGATAAATATTAGATAAAGTAATAAACAGTAAAAAAAAGGTAAATAACACTATACAGGGGAGAAAATTTATATGGTTAATGTGATTGTATTTAATTAAATTAAAACATATAGATATTTTATAAATTATTTATTTTATAATAAATTTTTATTATTAATTAAACTAATATATTAAGATTTATATGTCATAATTTAATTGAATATAAATATATAAAATTAAATATATAAATCTTGCCTTTATGTAAATATGCCACTAATTGGTTCATAATGAATATGACATGTTCTTTCAATGCCAGAAATCTAGCTAATTAAAAATATGTCCAACAAATATCACTTGTAGAGGAATCGTTCATGATCAAAAAGAGAATTGGACAACAAGCTTTTCTAAACCTTAACTATTATTTCAACACTGTTTTTAAAATTTTGAATACCTTTAAAGAACTCAACTTTTGATAGAAAAATAAATTTTTTAAAGTTAATATTTATTCTAACTCTCTTGGAGTTCCTTCACTAACTCATCATAATTTCAATAACAATCACTCTCTCACTGTAACCATCACAAATATTAAAAAAAAATTATGGATATATAAATTTAAAAAGTATTTAACAAAATGACTTGAGCTATTTTGGTAAAATATACCATCTTTAAAAGCATACTTAATATAAAAAATTTAACATCTCACACAACATCCATATATAGTATGGTCCTCCTCGTCAACTTTCTTGTCTCCTAAAGAACTCGCCGTGTAAATCTTTTTTTCTTGACCAATTCCACGTGTATGTCTTAGCCGTCCGGTTAATCTCATCCAAACCTCCATATATGCACACTCACCCACATGCCCCTTGCTCTCCGTATTCATGATCAACAAGATCGATCACTTGAAGATTCTCTTTTTCCTCCACATATATATTTCGCTCTTAATTGTGATCAGCTCAGAAATATTATTTCTTCTTCTTCTTCTTCTTCTTCTTCTTCTTCTTCGTTGTGATCGATCTCATAGCAAGAACCCAACTTAATTAATTCATAATGGGTTGCTTAAGTAATTTATTCAAACAGGTCAGTTCTTAAGTCTAGATATTCTAATTTCTATATAAATCCTGTTATTCGTTTCTTTTTCATTTGCATTTATTTACTTTGTCAAGCATGCATGAATATAAACACGCGCGCGCACAGAGAGATATGAACATGCATCGACTATGCATGGTTTTTTATCTGATATATTCCTTTGATCAAGTGTCTCTGAGTCTCGAGCTTTATTTTTTTTAAAAAAAAAAATATGCATGCAATCTGAGTCTCAAGTTTCTCTACACATGACAGCATTTTTGTATTGAAAAGTTTCGATACAACGTTTCGATATAATTTCAATTTCAATTGCCTGTCAGAGTGCACTTGACCTAAAGCTAGAGCGCTTCTTATAAAACCGCCACTGTAAATTTTGCCACTCGATTTAGGAGCGTTTTTAGCTTGTAGATTATTTTTTTCCCCTGTAGTAGATAGTGAAATTTACCCTACAAAAATTTTTGATGCCCTAGATTGTCATATTTATAGTTGTTATTCAGTAGGGCTTGACTTAACAATTCCCTTGTCATCAGGTCACTCACTTTCTCGACTTTTCGGCATTAGGCTTTGTTTTTTTCTAATTAATTTTTTCCATCCATCATACAGAAATTAAAAATATAAAAAAAGTTACACTATTTATTTATTTTTATTACTCATAGATATCTTTATATTAGAGAAAATTTTATTCAAGATATGATGGGATATTAAATATGGATGCCTCTTCCAACAGAAATATATATTATGTTATATATTATTTATAAACAACTGCTTTCTCTCTCTCTCTCTATATATATATATATATATATTCTGCTTTTAAATAAAAGTTGAGTTTACTTAATTGATTATGAGATATATAGTTTTACTATTTGCAGAATGAATCTAATTAACTTGTCATCCTCACCTTACTTGAAGATTAATTGTACAAGGATTTGTTTATTATATCTCCAAAAATGCTAATTTACTATGCTTCTACGAAACAACAAAAGCTTTAACTTTCCACTTTCTTTGAATCAATAAAAAGCAAGAAGATTGTGCGTTTGGTTTTTGTCTTTCTTTAAACGACACCTTCATTTCATCATCAGCTTTATAACTGGTTTTACGCCAAAAACAAGACGACGTGATGTTCTTTGCTTTTGGTTGATTTGGACTCGAACTTTATCAATAATCAATAACTACACACACACACACACAGTCTGGATTAATTTTTTTTTAATAATTCATTTCCATAAATTCTTAGAATAACTCTCTCATCATGCCATAGTTATATTAATTGTTGGGGCAAAGTGTACATTAATTGATTTACAGGCCAAAAAATATATATTTTTATATTTTTATTTTAAAAGAATGAAAACTATTTTCAAAAGCAAGAAGCAAACCAACCCTTATTGAATTGAGACGTTGCTAACTTGCTATAAAAAGAAATACACCAAAAGGAAAATCTTTTACTTATTAGTTATGTTATGTCAGTGGAGATCGATCAGATATTCCATCTTTCGAAGTTCATGTGTTAATATTCTCTGATTCAAAAAGAAATCAGAGATATATGTTTGTTCGTTTTTTTCGTGCATATATATGAGACGCTCATGGAGCATATCTCTGGACAGAATCTTATTAAACACATATTATTCAAAGTTTGTGAATCTAAATCATCATGTTTATTTATTTATTCAGGTGTCTGAAACTGTTATGGATGAAAGGACGAAGGAGGTTGAGGATTACACGTTAGATGGATCCACTGATTGGCATGGGAATCCTGCAGGCAGAGCAAGAACAGGAACTTGGGGGTCGGGATATTTAATCCTAGGTAATTAATTATTTCTAATTAATTAATAGTAATATAATAAAGTGGATTCCGATTTAGTGGAATCTCCAGGATTTTATTCCAAACCTAGCTGTTGTGAAGATTTTTATTTTTTATTATGATCTATTACCATCATTATTTTGTGATGTCATCTGATACAGAATCTTCAACACCGTGTGTTAGAGCTGTGCATATATGTGATGTGGCACAACGTACAGATGACCGAACCAGCCTCAATGTTCATCATACAGCTGAGCATTGAGAGCTCATTGCCTCTAAACCATTCAGATCTAATTTGAATGGTCTAGATTTACATCTTTTTAATTTTATTTTTTTAAAGAATATAGAATCTAAAGTAAAGACAATCTCTTAACTGTCATTTTTTCAAAAAAAAAAAAATTTATTTAAAAAGCATTTGTTGAAATACTATAAATCAAAATCATGAAAATTACATTTTGTTGCATTTTTAAAAACTATTTTGTAAACTATTTTTATTTTTTCCAAAAAAATGAAAAATGTATATTTAATTATTCAGGAGATAGCAATGATTGTCAGTGTGATGGCCTATAATAGTAGTTGACTATCATTGGTTGCTAGCCAAAGTAGCGAATGACTAGTTGATAGTAGTGGCTAGAGTTGTCAATAATAATGGCTGATGGTGGTTGTGGTCGACAATGACAACCAATGGTGATGATTGTTGGTAGTATGTAGTTGATAGTGGTAGATGATGATAGCCTGGGGTGGTTAGTTGGCAATGCCTAATGATAAATAGATAGTGATAATGGCTAATGGTGACAGTCGGTGGAGGTGGTTGATAATGGTGATCAATGGATGTTGATTGACTAAGACAGTCAATTGTGGTGGCCGGTGGAAATTGGCAGAATGCTTGTGGTGGATGATAGCAAGCCATAGCCATGGGAGTTGATGGTGATAATTTTCACTAACTAAATGTAGTGTGTTGAAAAAAAAAACAATTATATTACATTTCTATTTTTTTTGAAAAATAAAAAGATATATAAGATCAATTTTAAAAATTATTTAAATAACTCAGTTCCAAAACATTTATTTAAATAACATTTTTATTTTTAAAAGTTGAAAACAATTCTTAACAACATAAATAACTCAGTTCTGTAACATTATTAGCACTGCAGAAAAGTTGTATGGATATGTTGGCAGATTGCAATCGTGTTACATGATGTAATTAATCAAGGAGTCAATTGAAAGATACCTAAATCGGTTCTTTAATTAGTCAACCTCATCCACCTAACCCACTTTCTTGAATTCTGATTAGAAAATTGAGATGAAATTATTAACAAATTATATAGTAAATATGTATTCTGTTCACTGTACAAGAATAAAGTTGTTAAAAATCTGTAACATAAATAGATAATCTAGTTGAACAGAAGGGTTAAAATTTAATAACCTACTAGATTATTTCAACTAAGTGATAGACAAAAATATTCTCTTAGATAGTGCCCATAATTACATTAAATTTTTAATTTTATCTTTATAATTTAAATTTTGTAATTAGGTCCTTAAAGTTTAAATGATTTTCGAATTTGTTCTTGTCATTGTATGAAAATTACATTTATATCTTTTTAAATAATTTGACTTACAGCTGGACCATTTAGTATTGACATGAATAGTCTAAATTACGTGTTTTAAATTTATTACTTTTTAGAAACAATTCAAAATTCAAATATAAATAGTCAAGAAGTTGAGAGATATAATAAGAATAAAAATTGAATAAAGATATGCACAAAGCCGAATGTATGTTGCATGATTCATACGGCTTGAAATAGTAGATTAATTTTGTAGAATACACACACTATTATTAAAAAAAAAAAGTGTGGTAACTGGCAAGTATAAAGGCCGAAGTATTTTTCGGCTCATTATTTGAACAAATGGATTCAGTATCTATCAAATCCTGGTATACACTCAGGCCAAAAAAAAAAATCATGGTATACACAAAATTGATATTCCCATAAATTAAAGCATATATAAAAATAATTAAATATTAGTCTGATAATTATTTACACGATGCAGTGAATCAAGGGCTGGCAACTTTAGCATTTTTTGGAGTAGCAGTGAATTTAGTGTTGTTTCTGACGAGGGTTATGGGACAAGACAACGCAGACGCAGCCAACAACGTAAGCAAGTGGACTGGAACTGTCTATATGTGTTCCCTTGTCGGAGCCTTCCTCAGTGATTCATACTGGGGAAGGTATAGGACTTGTGCTGTCTTCCAAGCCATCCTAGTTTTTGTAAGTTTGAAATATGTATTTAAATAATAATTTCTTTCATAGCACACATGTATCTCATATTACTGGAACCAATTCTATTCAAGACACTTCTCCATGTGTCAAAAGTGAGAATCTCTTCCAGTGAGGATTCAAACTTTAGTTTGTCAAGTTGTGAGGAACCAATCCCTTTCTCCATGTAATCATATACACATGCATGCAAGAATTGTAGTTGCCACAACATGGGAAATAATAATATTCAAAGCCCGGTTGAATACATTTAAGACAACATATTATCTATTACATACCATATTTTTGTGTTGACGATAACTTTATACATGACAGGGTCTTGGGTTGTTATCTCTCACATCCTACAAATTTTTACTTAGCCCCAATGGTTGTGGAGACGAACAACTCAGTTGTGGATCCCATTCGGTCTTCCAAGAAGCTTTGTTTTACCTCTCAGTATACCTAGTAGCCCTAGGATATGGAGGATACCAGCCCAACATTGCAACGTTTGGTGCTGATCAGTTCGATGAAGCTGACCAAAAAGAAGGACACTCAAAGATAGCATTCTTCAGCTACTTCTATTTGGCTCTCAATCTAGGATCGCTCTTTTCCAACACAATATTGGGTTATTTTGAGAACGATGCTTTGTGGACTCTAGGGTTTTGGGCTTCAGCAGGATCTGCTAGTCTTGGCTTGATCTTGTTCCTTTGTGGCACTACGAGGTATAGGTACTTTAAGCCAGGAGGGAATCCTCTTCCTAGATTTTGCCAAGTTTTTGTTGCTGCAATAAGAAAATGTAAGGTCAGCATGGGGTCTAGTGAAGACAAGCTTTTTGAAGTTGAAGAATATTCCGAGGGAGGAAGAAAGATACTCCACACTGAAGGATTTAGGTATGTTACCGGTTAATTTCATCAATTTAATTAGTCAAGTTTACACACACACACACACACACACATCTTTATACACAAATGTTGTTGATACTATTTAATAAAGACGGTATGTACTTTCTTTCAAGGAAGATTACCAAGAATTTTTTATTTTGTTCAGCCTAGCTCAATCAATAGTTTACGTTTAAAATAGTTACTAAAAATATATCTATATCCATGTGATCAGATTCTTGGATAGAGCAGCATTTAAAACGCCTGAAGAGTTTAGCGAAAAGGAAGAAAATAACTTCAGTCCATGGCATCTTTGCACAGTGACTCAAGTTGAGGAAGTAAAATGCATACTAAGACTACTACCAATCTGGCTATGCACTATAATCTACTCTGTTGTTTTCACTCAAATGGCATCGATTTTCGTAGAACAAGGTGCAGCAATGGACACTAGAATTTCTTCAACTTTCAAAATTCCTCCAGCGAGCATGTCATGCTTTGACATTCTCAGTGTCGCCGCCTTCATCTTCATTTACCGGCGAGCTCTTAACCCTTTGGTGGCCCGCAAGAACAACAAAGGACTCACTGAGTTGCAAAGGATGGGAATCGGACTCATCATAGCAATGATGGCCATGGTTTCAGCAGGATTGGTAGAGCATTTTAGGTTAAAGAACGCTACAAATGAAGTGTCAAGTTCATTAAGCATCTTCTGGCAGATACCACAATATGTGCTTATAGGAGCTTCAGAGGTATTCATGTATGTTGGTCAATTAGAGTTCTTCAATGGACAAGCACCTGATGGATTGAAGAGTTTTGGAAGTGCGCTTTGCATGACTTCAATGTCACTAGGAAACTATGTCAGTAGTTTGATTGTTGCCATTGTTATGAAGATTTCTCAGAGAGGTGAGAGCCCAGGATGGATCCCAGGAAATCTCAACGTGGGACACTTGGACAGATTTTATTACCTTTTAGCAGCATTTACAGCAATAGATTTTGCGGTTTACATTGCTTGTGCTAGGTGGTATAGGCCTGTCATATTTGACGAAAGGAATGAAGAAGACATCAACCCAGAGCTCAAGGTCTAGGGATTTTGGATCTCATGAGACAATATATTGATTGCTTTTTAAAAAATTAGTGATGGACTGTTGTATTATATTTGTGTTAGAGGAAATGTGTGATTACATGCTGTGAAACAAGGGGAATGTTTTTTTCTTCATTTCTCTATGTGGAGCAAAATGTATAAGTTATGCATTTTTGATGGAGTGGTTTATATTAATCTATGCACTATTTGACAAGGTTCGGAATATATTTGGTTTGGATTGTTCTATTATTGGATTTTCATGTAATATATATATATATATATATATGACTAGCTACTTTATTCATGGATGAGTAGATTTTTGAGGTTTCTACTTGAAAATTATAATTGGAATATGAAATGATAAATTAGCTAGAATAAAATCAGCACAGTCTTTTATGTGAAAAGAGTCGATCACATACAGTAACAAGCTCATCTAAAGTAGTATTTTAAGGGTTAAACCCAAGGAAAGTTATATAATTATATTATTACAATTAACCTTAGTCGAGCAAAATGTTAAGAGTAATGAGGGAAAGATAACTTTAAACAAACTACTAAAGCAGATTAGATGAGTGGTGAGAATATTAGAGGTGATTAGGCGTTAATCACTTGTTAATTAGTGACCCTAATGTGTATACAAAGGGCAAAATTTTAGATCGATTAGAAAGTTGGGATTAGGGAGGTTAATTTGATCCTCGCCTCATTGTCTCTATTCAAAGTTTGGAGTTTATATCACTAAAAAACAGCATTTATATAGCAATTATTTTTGTTAATATATAATAGTTTCGAATTGCTATATATTCTCACGATATATAGTCTAGAAGAAACTATATCACACCTTTTAACTGCTATATAGTTGATGTATATATAATGATTATTTACAAATAATCATTATAGAGTTTGTTCCAATTATTAGTCCTATGTACTTCTCAATAAATTATATAACAATTTTCTCGAAACAGCTGTTGTATAATTGGACCCACTTATTAGTACAAAAGTGCCTAGTACTCCTTGAATGAAAGTACAAGAACAAAAATACATTTTAACTCTAAATAATTTTAGCTTCTTAAGTGTTCTTTGCAAAACAAGTTGACACTTCATTTTAACTCCAAATACTAACATTCAAATCCTCACTTAAAAGGTACTCACATTTAGTGCTTGATTAATTGTTGAACAAGATTGCTTTCAATAGAAACAATAAAAAAAGTTTAGCTTTCTATTGTGCTTGGATACATGTGGTTGTGGTCAAAGTCATTAACTCTCTCTATATTTGTAATCACTCTCGTTCAATTAATTAAGATTGAGATCAGATCATAATTATCCCATTTAGACTTTGGCTCGTGACAAATCCAGTTGTGTGTTTTATCTCTGTCTTTCATTTTTTTCCACCAACGATATGAACCTCCTAGATGATCAACTCTAGGAATTGGAGTTGACTTGGCCTCCTCTGGATATCTTTCCCCCCTTTTTTAAGGGCCAAAGCCCAATGTCCTTGTACCTTTTAGTCATTTTCCAATACCAATCCCAAGTCCAACCTTTCATTCTTTCCTACCAAACAGACCTAAAGGTTCAAGTAATTGGGATTTTATTTTTTTGTTTAGGCATGCTCTGCCTAGATAAATTCTTGGGACTCAACTTATTTAAATTTTTTTACACTTTGATTTTATTTTTCTGAATCTGAATCTTGCAATTAAATACATAATAATTTAATGAGTATGAGTTATTTAGACACACACATCAGCAAAGTCTAATAGATTTTCGAGTTTGACTTGGAAATATATGTTGTTTTGACGTGGACACCTTACCCATGATACACGTGATTTCTTGGAACAATGCATCCCATATTTAGTGTAACATCTTATTTTGTGAAACCTTTTGACAACTTTTAATCATCGATATGTGTCTTTTTATTAGAGGCACTTATATTTATTTGAAGCAAACACTAAATATAACAAACCATTCAAGTATACAAAAACTATATGGCTTCATTAGGAGCTCAATTTCGGACCGTTAGAGATAAGGAAGAGTTGAAAACTTGGGAAAAATAAAATCTCAATTTCGGACTGTCAAGTTTAAAAAAATCATAACTTATTTTAAAAAAAAAATTTTAGCTTATTCTTCTCTTATTTTAAAACTTGATGAGACTTCTTTAGATGAAAATTCATTATAAGTTATACTATTTGATTCTGCCAGCATGATAATCACTCTGATCAATCCGATCTATGTTTTTTAACATTATAAACATAAATGAGAAAACAAAGCTTGTGATAGGAACTTGGGATCAACATTTGAGTCTACGTATTGATCTTATCAATAAACCAAGTTGCTTATATTTTCCACGGAAACAGCTGTCAAGCACTTTCAAAAGTCTTCACCAATTTTTTCTCGTAGCTAATTCTAATATACGATGATGACAAGTTTCATTTGATGAGTTGATCATATCACTTTGTTACCAGCAATTGTCTAATAAATTGCTCGATTGAAAAGATATAAATATCTTCAATTCATGTATGGACCAAAAGCATTCCTTCTAATCTTATTTATAAGTTAAAAAAAATTTAATTTTATTTATAAATTGTATCATTAAATTTTTATTATGAGTTTTTGTTATATTCTTATTAAATATTGTGGAGAAAAAATATATTAAGATGTACAAAATTTTTCTAAACTTTAAGACATTTACATAGAACTCTCACTTTTAAAAATTTAAAATTAGCCTTCCTAACGTTTTTTTTTTTACCATGTACTTCAATCCCATACTATTATTTTTTAGTTGTTTTAATAACAAAACTGCCATTATGTCATATTAAAAAAAACATGTTACAGCTTACGTAGCATTCAATGAAAGATTTTATAAAAATTTTATCCTTATTTTTTATGTTATTATTAGCTTACATTAGATTTTATGAACATATCTTTTTTTAATATGAGGATACCATGACAACTTCTCTTAGTAAGATAATTAAAAAAAATAACAATATAATACAATATATAAAATTTTAAACTTTTAAAGATAAGAATGTTTTGTACAATTGCTTTAAAATTTAGAGGAGTTTTATATATTTTAAAATTATACATAGTTAATATGGATAAAGTTAAAAATTTATTAAATTTTTAAATAGAATTAATGAATTTTAGGATTTTTCTTAATTCTAGTGAAACATAATAATTTCTTTTGGCAGATCACCGAACAAGTTTAAAGACACAGGCATCATTCTTCTAATAGTAACAACTGTGAGGTGTTTGCCTTTCAATTCCCATAGAAACGAAAAAGGCATCTCCTACAAATTCATGATATTTTTCAATTGCATGTAAGGTTTACACTTTATAGAACTGAATAGAGATGGATATTAATGTGATAACTAAGAAAAATTTAACAAATTTAACAAGTACTAATCAATATATTTATATCTTTTACATTCAAATTTAAATTTTTAATATAATACTAGATATTAGATAATGTTTTTGAAAAAAAGTATAGCTAGAATCTTAATTTTAAGTTTAGACCACCCACCTAAAATTTACTTCTTTTAGGCCACCACTAGACTATACACTCATACATGTGTGTGTAAGAATTGTGAGCCTTTTCTTTTACACATAAATCTCATAATATCAAGTTAAATTCCAGTATTGTTAGGAAAACTTAAATAGATGTAATTTTCTTAACATGATTCCTTTCATCTACAAAATTTAAATTAAAGACACGTCCTTATTTTTACAATATGATTCTTGTCAATCACTGTCTCCTCAAAGCCAAGTTGAAAGATTTTGCTTTCATTGGCTGAGTTCATCGTGGAAACAAGAAAAGTTACAACCAATGTGACAAAGAAATGATGAAAGAAAAAGAAAGATTGATGTGGAATGAGATACAGACAGATCAATTTGCATTACTCCAGAATTTTAAATAATCTAATTTATCAATTTTTTTACGTCGGCACAGACATTGGTTTCCATTAGCAATTTGATAGGTATTATTCAAAGTCAAAAAAAGAAAATAAATTGATAGGAAAAGTTAATACTATACATTGATATATCTTTGCTTCTCATGTTTATAATTTTCTTTATTTTTATTTTTTCTCCAAAATTTAGTTAAGTGAGGTTTCAAGAATTCACTAGGATCAAAGCATGCATGTCTCTCAATTCAAAGAGCACTTATAGAAGTTTCTTTCATTTTCTGATTTCAGCTTTTCTTGATATTTTATAAATAAATTGATACTCTCAAATATTTCCTCTGTTTCACATATATGCCTTTCCATAGAAAACAATTTATTCATATCATAAGTCTTCTTAGAAATACAAAGCAACATTTATGAATATTTTGCCTTTTTTATCCCTATTTACTACAACAATTCTAAAGGAGGCGCAGGTTTACAGGAATAAATGAGACAAATTTGGTAAAATGTTGCCCTACTTTTTGGTATTTATATATTATATATTTTTTAATGTGAGTTTACTAACCTTAAAAAAATTTATTGTAAAATGGAGGGAGTATAATCAAAGCCCTTTTAAAATTAAAAAAATTAATCGCTAGTGTTGGTCCAAAATGAAGGACATTTTGTAAAAGAAAAAAAATAGTATAAATTATAAAATTCTTCTTTTCCACAAATGCCTTTGTTAAATGTTTTGTATAAAAAAATTGTGTGTGTGTGTGTGTGTAAAAGAAAGAGATTAATGGTAATGAAGATTGATTGATTTTAGCTGAAGGATAATCTTAAAAAATAATTATATATTATATTATTTTAATAATTCAAACCTTTTTAATTATTTTTTAATTAAATTTTACCCTAATAAAGTACTTATTTGTCTTCAAACTAACTCTATTTTTTATATTTATCTCTATTTAATAGGGTGTTTCACTCTAAAATAAATATAGATAATTTATTTAATAGGGGTACTTTAAAAAAATATAATAATTACACCTTAAAAAATTAAAAATACTTATAGTTTTTAACATTCAACTTCTCAAAAAAATACCTTATATTTTTTAATGAAGGAATATATATAAACATATTCTATAAACATATTTCTCGCATATAGGTTCATATTTTTTTATTTACTTAAAAGGTATAAATATGAATTTAAAAAATTTAAAAATAGCTGGACTGGTTCAACCTCTTTACCTACCTGTTCTGTTGGTTTTGACCTTGGCCGATTCTATGATTGGACGGTTTTTAACTAATAATCGAAACAGGCTTGGGACCAGAGTTCTCCTAAAACTGATATTTTATTGGGGAAAAGCATGGATCTGGAAAAAGA